AGTTTGACGTGTAAATCTGGATTTTTCACTTCTTTCCAGCATAGCCGCCCACTAAAAAAGAGGCTCTGAGCTCCAAGCACTTGAAAGATTGAAGTAACGGTAAAAAGTCTGTTTAGAGACAGTCACAGTTAAGAAGTCATCTTGTTATATGCCTCGCTCTGCCTATGTGATACTGAAAACAAGGTGTAAAGGGTAGGGCAAGGTTAATAGCAAAACCCTGCAACTCCACGGTAGATGAGTCATGGCTCATTTAGATTAAAACAGGTGGTCAAATGTCAGAGTCAAAGAGGGTCTAAAATTATAGAATAACATTGTCTGTCTCCAACCTTATGAATAAATAAATATATAAATTAATTCCATTTTAATATGAAAATTTCGGTTGCCTGAAAAAGGACAAGTACTTTTGATATCTTGGGGACAGAAGCCAGTTTTAAAAGTTAGGAATAATGGAGGGTTGTGACAAACAACAGCACAAACTAATAATTCCCCCCAGTAGCTTTAATTACTTGGGCACCATTCCTTTAAAGTGAATTGCTAATGTACAGCATTAATCTTTCCTTGAAGTTAGTAGAACCAAAGCTAGAGAGAGAAAGAGCGAGAGAGAGCAGATATAAACTGTTGCCCACTGCTCTCAGTTTTGCAGAAATGCTGAAAGTGGGTTTATTTTCTTGCTTTGAGCACTGCATTTGGAGCTATAATTGTAACTCTGGCCTGAGCCGAGCTCACAAGCTAGCTGAAAATGGCTCCCTTGAGGGAGGAGTCTTCTGGAGCTCACAGACCTTCAGCTTTCTGCACTTAACCTGCCATGTTTCTTATCTACCACTGCCCTCATTACCGTGGCCTTGCCAAGATATCTGGGCTATGGTCTTCACATATTTAATGTGGTTTTCAAACTGTTCCAGGCCATTTCACAGCTGTATGCTTAGTCTCTCAAGGGTTGGGATATACACCAAAAGCAATGCTATATGAGTTAATTTCTCTTACTGTTCAACTATTTATATAAAAAAGCTTAAACATAGTTTCTGTTTTTCTAAAGGCATAGTTCACTCAAAAATTTTAAAATTATGTGAATTTAGACACAGCAGACTCCAAAACAATAAAAATACAGTGAGCATAGAAAAGAATCACCACCCTTTAAAATAATCACATTTTGTTGCTTTACAGCCTGAAATTGAGACGGACACAGTTATAAATAAATAAGTAAATAAATAAACAAAATCAGTTGGAAAAAATAAAGAGATGGAAAAAAGATCACCCCCCAACTAAAAATGACTCTCAATCAAGTGTAGCTCATCACTTTCTCAATGTCGCACAAAGCCATTTGACTTTCAACTGTGATCAGCTGTAGTCATTTTGATTAGCTCAGCATGAAAAGAGCTTTCCTGGAACATTTCAGGCTACTGAAACAAACAATCAACTGTGGGCACCCATCAAAAGATCTCCGGGATAAAGCTGTGGACAAGCACGAGTCAGGTGATTTCAAAGGCTTTATCAATGCCTAAAAGTGAAGTCCATTATTAAGAAGTGGAAGGTATTTGGTACAAGACAGACCCTCCCTGGATCAGGACGTCGCTCCAAACTGGAAGAAAGAGCCAGGAGGAAACTGATCAGAGAGGCGACCAAGAGGCCTACAGCAACTCTGAAGCAGTTACAGGAATTTATGACAAAGAGTAGTCATTGTGTGCATGTGACAACAATATCACAAATTCTCCACAAATGTGGCTTGTATGGGAGGGTTGCAGAAAGGCCACATGCAGTTACGACTGAGCTTTGCCAAAACACACCTTTAAGAATCTGAGGCAGATGAGACTAAAATTTAGTTATTTGGCCTCAACACCAAATGATATGTCTGGTGGAAATCCAGTACAGCTCATCATCCAAATAACAGCATTCTTCCAGTAAAGCATGGAAGTGGTAATATCCTGTTATGGGGTGTTTCTCTGCAGCAGGGACTGAAGCACTTGTCAGGATAGAAGGAAAAATGGATGGGGCAAAATACCATACAATTCTTGAGGAAAATCTGCTGCCCTCTGCCAGAAAGTTGTGAATGGGGGAAAAAGGTTTACCTTCCAAGATGACAATGACCCAAACCACACAGCAGAACTGAGCACACAGTGGTTGGAAGAGGAAAAAGGTGAATGTCCTTGCATGGCCTAGCCAGAGCCCAGACTTAAACCCCATTGAAAATCTTTGGAACGACTTGAAAACTGCAGTCCACAAACGGTCACCATCAAAATTTAACTGCACTTGAGCAGTTCTGAAAGGAAGAGTGGGCAAATATTGCAAAGTCTAGATGTGTAAAGTTAGTAGAGACAAATCGCAGCAGACTAAAGGCTGAAATTAAATCAGAAGGTGGTTCAGCAAAATACTGACACAAGGGGGTGATCCTTTTTCCAACTCAGTGTTTTTTTTCCCTGATATGTTGGTGTTATATATTTCACTTGGATGTTATAAGTTGCACTGAGTACATACAGCTGGTTAAAACAAAAATTGTGTCTGTCTTCATTTCAGGCTGCAAAGCAACAAAATGTGATTGTTTTAAAGAGGGGTGATTCTTTTCTATGCCCACTGTGTAAATAAATAAAAGTGTGAGAGTGTGTTATACCGGCTCCCCATAGTAAACTACCACAGTGCTACTGCAGCAAGCATTTCCACAGATATAGCCTGCTGAAGATAAGCATGTCTCTTCAGAAACAGATGCACAAACTGTCACAAATGAAACTCAACGTTCTGCATCATATCCTGAAGCTCAACACACAGTCAGTTTCATTAAAAGTGGTAAACACTGCATTCTATCACCAGTGTTGATGTTACTTTCCTTCTTCATTGCGGCCTTTAATCTTGAAATTAGCTGACAATAAATAAAATGCACATGTGTTGCTTTCAGTGACATGAACTCCATTGAATTTATATTCATTTTGTGGGGACACATTTATGTGGCCAGGTGTAAAGTTCAATAATGAAGTGGTAGTTTGTCTAAATAAGAGCCAACGCTAAAAGCAGAGCTGCTTCCATAAGACACAGGATTGAAAATGAACCAAAAGAGCCACTCTTTCTCTTACGGACATGATGTGTCTCTCTTGCTTAATTTCACTCTCTTTCTTGATCATTTTGTTATCAATTATGTTATAATTCTGTATCAAAATGTATTGAATCATGACGAATGTATTGCCAATGTTTATCGTGAGATAGTTACCCAGCTCTAGTTCCAAACCTATATTGCTTTCTTTCTTCTGTAAAACACAGATGTTTCACAAAATGATCATGCTGCTCTAATCCATGTGAATGGGAACAAGGCCTTTTGAGCTCTCAAAATGACCTTTAATTATCAATAAAGTAGATATTTGCTATATTCAACATCCTTCAACTTTGTGAAGAAAAGACTGAAATGTAAATCTTTTTTTTTTCAGTGAACATCTTCCTCTCCAAATCCTCCACCAAACTCTTATGTAATGCACATTCACTGAAAATGACACTGTATGGGGACCTAAGCTTGAATTTCTCCAGTCTCTGTCACTTCTACACTTATCAAATTAAAGCCAAAAGACCCATAAATAAATAAATAAATCTCACTTTCGTCAAACATGGCATATCACAAACATGTTGAACATCATTGGTGCTAACATGTCTATAGACCATTCACAATGAAACTCATTTGGACTTGCAAGTGTGAATGAGGTTTAAACACTGCAAAGAGTAAGAATTTAAGTAATTTAATATTTTAATTTTGTTCCTCACAAACACCTATGATATGGCAGCAGGCTATTTAGAATATGCTGCTTGGTTCACAGCAAAAAATAAAAAATAAAATGGAACAACATCCATCAATCTGCATTCCAAACCGCTTGACCTGTGTAGAGTCGAATGGATGATAGCCAGTTGAGAACGACATAGTGACAAAATAATGACAGATCATTTATTTATTTATTTTATGTTATTATTATTTCTTTATTTTTGGGTTGTGGGGGGTAAATATTCCTTGAACGTTTTTATAAGCACGGTGTAAATGCAGGACCTACAGTAGCTACATAAAAAAAGTCTATTCATACATACCCCCCCAACCCTCTTTTAATAAACAGTCACACGTCTTCCACCCATATGAAAGCAAGCTCACTTGAATTACAAACCGGTTGCATACGCGCATTACTGTTGTGCTCATAAACAAAGTAACTCCATGAAGACCATAATAGGCTATACATTGACTAAAATTATTTGTCACGATATGAAAACCAGCATACGGAACAAACTACCGCAAACGCACGCGCAACCCAAGTGTAATCTCTAACACACCGGGATCTATCTGATCGATCGAATTTCCAAGGCTAAGCTGTATTTTTTTTAAACACTGAATTTATTCATAGGAATATTACAATATTTAAGAATATTTTAGTTCCGAATATGACGACAATAGCACATTCCTACCCAGATAACACAGTGGAATTGTGTATGGAAATAATCTTGAAGAATGTAGCAAGTTTTCATTCAAGATTATACGTTATTACAAGAGTAATACATTTTCTTTCACATTTTCCTTTAGTATAATAGACGACTATAAAACGCACAACTCACAGTTACACGGTTACTTTTACCTCAGTAAAACAAAAGCGTATGTCGCATCATCAGTATATTCAACAGTGTGAATAAACTAGCTACCGATCGACAGCGTGACTGAAAATTGATCTTAATGAATGGGAAAAGAGAATATCTGTAAAAAATATTGAAGTGATATCCTCTCAAAGTAACAGTCGTCAGTCTTGCCCGTGATAAGCTCTCACTCCTGGTCAGGTTCACCTCAGTGTGTCTGTAGTCAGCTGTGGCGAGAAGAGACCTGTTAAACCTTAAAACAAATGAAGTGTTCCTCTCAAAAACACACTTACTCGTGAATAAAACACTGCGGGATTTTACAAAGACATGTCTTTAACGTCGTTTCCCTGTCTTCGAATCTATATGACACGCATTTTACGCATCATTCAGTCATTATAATATGAAATGTACCTCACCAGAGATAAATCCTTTTTTTCTTCCGACGGACTTCAGACACTTTCTGAGCTCTGGCAGCTGATTCCCTCCTCTGTCTCTCCACTTATTTTCCAGTAAATTCTTTCATGTCCAATGGGTGAATTTTGAAGTATTTGCCTCAGATGCTGACATGAGGGTAGTGGAGGAGCGCTAGTAACGTTGGAAAGCCTGCCCTCCTCAAACGAACCTTCCCGCCCCCTCCTTCCCTCACTAGCAGATTGGTGCTGGATGGCGACAAATTTCCCGCTCGTCGGAGGTTTAAATACATCGCTGATCGTTTCGAATAGGGATGGGCAATACCACTAATTTTGTTTTCGATACGATGCCTATACTTTCAAAGGCCAGTATCGTCGATATTGATACCGATACCCCCAAACTGAACTTTTAAATGATTACATTTATAAAAATTATTAAAAGTAAAATAGGTAATGATACCCATTTAATTATATTTGAAATGCATTTTAACATTCAATATGCGTTAATTGCAATTTATTATATTTTATTTTTATTTACACGTGGTTAAAATATGTTTACTGTAGTGGTAACCATGGAAATTGTTCAATTGTTAATTTTCATAAGGGACTGCCAGTGACAGGCTGTTGCACCCATACACTCTAAAAAATGCTGGGTTAAATACAACCCAGTGCTGGGTAAAAGTATTTAACCCAGCATTTTTTAGAGTGTAAAATGCAATATTTTTATTCTGACGGTGTATGACTTATATTGACATTACAGAATAGAACATGATCAATATGAATTACATAAATGTAATTGCACAACTATAGGCTACAATTTCAGTTTGTTTATTGTGAAATAATTCAAACATATCATGTATTTCTGTCCTCTGGTGAAAAAAATAAAATAAAATCTGGCCTGCATTTCCCAAAAGGATCAATGCTTTCTTATGATACATTTGGGAAAAGATGGCCTGTTTGAATATAGTGTCAGCAGTGAGTGAACGCATTCTGTGATCGATTGGTTCTGTTTTGCAGCATTTGTGTGTGTTCAGATAAGCAGGAAAACAGTTCTATCCTACACAGTTTCCTTGTTAAATGAAAAAAATCGCTAGTTTAAAAAAAAAAAAAAACCTTAGTATCAATATTTTTTATTTGAGTATTGATACTTTCGATACTCACATCAGTATCAATATATCGATGCTTCATTATCGATACAGCCATCCCTAGTTTTGAAGCAGTTAGATGAAGGATATGCTGACCCTTTGGCAGAACATCACAAATTAAAGTAACATAAAGTTCAGCCAACATTGTGTTATTATTTTACAACTCTTCATGTTGTTCTAAAACCTGAAAACCCAGGTTATTTTCATGCAGCTCTTTTCCATTAACATATCCTTGTCCAAATCACACACACACACACATGGCAAAAGTGCAAAGTGTATGTGAAATAGTACACTACAATATTGTTGGCCTCAACGCTGAGGGGGATGAACTAAAGCCACAATAAGTGAATTAATAAATATTATTTCATAAGTTATTTAAGCAAGTGCAACAGCATTTAGTTATTCACTATTTATCTATTTTACACAGATTACTAATCCAGACAGTGTTTATGAACAAAACTGTGCTGCTGTTTTAGGCCTATAATCTAGTTTAGAAATGGTTCGTATCATGGAGCATTGTCCTCCTCACCTCGCTATTATGGACTTGTAACAATAGTCTTGGGTGGTCATAAAAATAGCAGAAGTTTTTTTTTATTTTTTTTTATATATAGTTAGTTGGTGAGTTAAAATTATAATTTATAATTTATTATTATTATTTTTTTTTTTTTTCCTATGCTGTGAAAAAGCTCAGGCTAGTAGGTCACTTACAGCATGAGTCATTCTCCCTCCCTCAGTGAAACTGAACCTGTTAAAAAACATGAAGACATATTGTGATTTTGTTCCTTATATATTCACTTTGGTGGCTTAATGTGAATATTTAACATATGCATCACCACATGGAGTTTAAAAAAAAAAAAAAAAACCCTGAGCCGTCAGTTGGGGCATAATGTTTTCTCAAGGAGAAAGTTTTATTTGGATCACTCATGTCATTTACTGTACATCAGTCAGGGTCAGATAATGATTCATAGAATTTGATTTAGACCAGTGATGGGCAAACCTGGCCCTTCCAGGCCACTTTCCTGCAGAGATTTGATCCAACCCTGATAAAACTCACCTGCCTGTAGCTTTCTAGTAGTCTTGAAGACAATGATTAGCTGGTTCAGGTGTGTTTGATTAGCGTTGGAGCTAAACTCTGAAGGAAAGTGACCTGGAAAGGCCAAGTTTGCCCACCCCTGATTTAGACCATATGTTATATTGAAATTATCAGCCAATTGGAAAATAAGTATATTTTCTTGCCAAAGCCAATTTTTATTCAAATGTTAATGTTGGAGCCTTGATGCCAGGCTCTCAGGGAACAAATAAAAACAGTGAGGCTTAAATATCAGAGGAATTTCAACCAAAATTGAGCATCACCTCTGCCTAAGCACTTAAAGTGAAGGTTCGGGACACTGCTGTCTAATATTTGCCTGTCAGATACCAACTAAATTTACAGTATATTGCTGTCTACTAGTTGCTGTACTTTCACTGTAATGTTTACAGTAGTAGCTCTACAGTGATTTAAAATTAAATTGCAACTGTATGTTGTGACTTTGTGCTGTGACTTCACAATAAACAGTATCTGTTTTATTTTTCAATGCAGAAGCAAGCTACAGTATTTCACTTCATAGACTTAATATTCATTAGCCACTGTAGGTAAATAACTATATAAAGAATAATAAAGTGCAGCAAACAGTGAAACTATTTGTGCTACAAATCAATGTGTTTATGATTACGATAATAAATTATTATGATAACAAATACCAGTATATATACCATATAATACCATATACACTGTAAAGTAGTACAGTTGACTGTAATTATAGATGTAGCTACAGAAATTAATTGCAGATGTAATTAATTACAGGCAGCTATTTGAAAAAATAAGTACAATGTAAAAACATGTATGTACACCATAAGTGCATTGTATGAAATTATTAATTTAAATGTAAGTACTGTACATAGACATTAAAAACAATATAAAGGTGGGTCCAGATTACTACCTTCAAGAACCATAGTCCATACATTTTACTAAAAACCTTGTAGAAAGGCCCTTCGTGAACATGTTATATTTCTTTTGTTTTCAAATGACCCTTCAAATAGATTCCCCTTCACACAGTGGCACAAAAATGACATTTAGAATCTGCTCATCTCCTGTATGCTGGCTCACGGGGATACTGCATTTAAATACTGTACTCAAATGTTCCTGAGGAGAAGGAACCTCTGCTTTGGTACACATCCCCACAAGGTGCCCTTGGTCCAGTCATGTATTTCTAAAGTGGCTTTCAGCAGTTGCTGCTGAAGTCTGAATAACCCCAAATAAATCCAAATATTTTCTTTTTAGGCTGAAACACAGATGTCCTTGACTACTGTGAGTCATTCAGATGAGCAGAATTAGCACTATTTCCACAGACTTCAACTCTTCCTAAATCACAAATATAATTAGATTTGCAGTCCGCATAGTGAATGAGGTAACTAATCAGACGCCTTGCCTGCACACTGCTAAGGCACAACAGCTGATAAGGAAGGATGCATAAGGAACCATAAGGACATAATTCTTGCTTCCATTGCATTTACATTAGAGCTCATATCCTGTTGTCTTGTAAAGTCTTTGCACAGAACGAATGTGATTAGCTAATAAAGTTTGTAGTACACCTTATCTCATCTGTGATGTTTAAAACATAATAGTGATTTTTCCCTACAGTTATAACGGACATAACATATATATATATACAGTATATATATATATATATATATATTATAATATAGAATATGAAAATGTATTATACTACGTGTATCACTAAAATAGCCTCACAGCTAAAAAGCTACATGACATTTTTCAGTATTGAGGTGTAACGTCACTGTTCTTGAAGCTGTTAAACTTACACACTGTTGAACAATGTTGAGTATTTCTCTCTCTGTCTGTCTGCAAAGACTTAAGATAAACAAATACAGATATATACTCATATTACTTATGAATGTGAGAAAGCATATAGGCGCAGAGTTATGTTTCTACAAGTAGGTGCCCACCCTCCATAACACAGTCCCCCAGAAACATATGAACAGTTTTATTGATTGATTCGTTCATTGATTGCAACTTGCAAGTGCAAAAACATTATCAACCAAATATAATTGGTTGAGCAAATGATAACTGGTCTCATTACTCAATATTTCAAGAGTGCAGTTTTGTCCATGCACTTGATAAGGCTGGGTGGTATATCGAGTTTGATATAATTTTTTTAAACTACACAGAATGAGGCGATACCATTTCGACCCACAGGGACACCATGTGAGACGTCAGAGAGGTTTTTGATTGGTTAAAGTTAATGGAGAATATCTTGTGTTTTTCCATGGGTGCTTGTCACAATAGACTTAGTTTAGCGGTGCAAAGTGTGGGTGCTCAAGCGACTATGGGAGAAAGCCCAACGTACTATATTGCGAAATAGTCCCACCTTATAAATAAAAGAGCCAGTCACTGATTGCTAAAGTCTTTGCGTCACTGCAACTGACGATAGAAGCTCCAGTTGCTATAGAAACAGTCAGTGTCCTGAGACATATGCTGAGGACTGCACATGAACATTGGCTGGTCTAGCCTGGAAAAATATGCTTTTTTAAACGCTAAGCATAAGAGACAAAATTTATGAGACTGTTGTGATTTTTATGAGGCAGCTGTGATTTCACTGGTGATGATTCAACATTTAAATTTTTTTTTTCCTTTTATTTCTTAAGTTTAACTTTAAGCTCAGAATGGATGATTATGACTTTACCGTTTATGCAACCTCAGAAAAAATGTAATGTTTTGGGTGTGGGATGGGGGGGTCATCTCATACGTTCCTGCACAGAAAAAAATTACTGCTGAGGCAAATAACATGCAAATAATGAGACTGCAGAACAAGATGAATTAAATAAATCAAAAAACAAACAAAAAAAACCCGAAAGAATCACCTGAACCTCAGGGACAAAAACAGAATGAATCAAACGAATCTCAAGGACAAAAAAAAAAAAAAAAAGAATGAACCAAACGATTCTCAGGGACAAAAGTAGAATGAACAAAATTAATCTCAGGGTCAAACAAAGAATGAATCAAATGGATCTCAAAGAAAAGAAAACACAACAGCTCAGTTAAATCTCAGGGTCAAAAACAATGAATCAGATGATTCTCAAGGAACAAAACAGAAAGAATCACATAGAGCTCAGAGACTTGAACAAAGTAAAAGGTCAAAACCGGAGAATAAAGAGGTTTCACAGACTCCTTTTTGAAAACAGTCAACAGCTAGACATTGGAGAAAGAAGGTACTCGCACCCAGATGGACTATGACAATTCTTTCAAAGATAATGATTTAAAAAAAAAAAGGAAAATTAGAGATGGTTCTTAGTCTCCTGGTAAAATGAAAAAGATTCCTATTCAAAGTAAGTGCTCATTATAGAATCCTGTTTCTGCCACTGAATAATAATAATAATAAAAAAAAAAAAGTAATTGCGACTTTTTATTTCACAATTCGGACTTTTTTGTATCTTTTTTTATATCTCGCTGATCTGAATTTATAACACGCAATTGCAAGTGTGAGTTTATATCTCACAATTCTGAGAAAAGAAGTCAGAATTGCGAGAAAAATAGGAAAAAAAAAAACAGAACTACGAGGTTATATCCCAGAATTCTGACTTTATAAATCACAATTGCATAGTTTATATTTAATTTTTTTATTTATTTTTTTAGTTTGTATCACACAGTTAAGAGTCTTAATTGCGAGATGTAAATTTGCAGTTGCGACGAAAGTCAGAATTCTGAGACAAAAAGTCGCAATTACCCTTTTTTTTGTTTGTTGGCAGAAACGGCTTCCCTAGTTACCAACATTCGATAGTAATGTTGGAGTGGACTCTGATGAGGATTCTTTACTTTCCTCGCAGTCCTGGTCCCTGAAGAAGCGCTATGTTGAATATTAAGAAGTTTCTTATGTGCACCAGAGGAGTCAGGAATGTTAAAATTGAGGGTGTGTTTCCTAATCTACCATTCTTTATTGATTCAGTCAAGAATTTTCTGAAAAGTTCTGAGAGTGCAGAGAAGAAAGTTTTCACTGATCAGGAAAATTATAATTTGAAGAAACTTGCTTTGAAAACTATAAATGACATTTAAAAGATAGTAAATATGTTTAGTACTTTTTGTCAACTTGTTTTTCTTTTGTTTCCTTTTTTTCTTTTGTTTTAAGTGTGAGTTAAGAATTGGCAACCTGATTGTAAATGGATTTGGAGATGAAGGAAAAAGGGATTCATTTTTCAGACTGTGCTTCCTTACACATAGTACTGCTGATAAAGTTGACTGGAAGAGAGAATGGAATAGTGAACATAAAATAGCAACAATTGTGGAGTGGGAATATGTTTTTGGGAAACATATGGGGAAAAGTTAACTCCTCTGTCTGTTGAGTATGTAGAGGTCATTAAAGGCCACCTATTAAAAATCAGAGCAATATATGAACATGTTTTATGTTTTAATGATGTTTTAAACATCATTTTAAGTTTTTAATGCTTTTCTTTTTCTGATCTCTCCCTCTTGTGTAAAAATGGTCAAAATGAGTTATTCACAGATTGAAGTATGATTCTGGGCAGGTGCTATCTCATACTACTATTTGTAAGCATGCTTTCAGCTTTTACAGTGGCTTATTTAAATGTGAGCATTGAGAAGAGCAACTAGCTCAGAGCTGCAGTACTGGAAGCAGATGTCTCCCTGCATGAACTTAATGCAGCTCAGAAGAAGCAGAGTAGAAAAAAAAGCTTTTGGATCAGATGGTCTGCCTGTTGATTTCTATTTTTGTTTTTTATTTTTTTATTTTTTTTGGCCTGTAATTGAAGATGATCTTTTGGCAGTGTTAAATTACAGTCTTGCTGAAAAGGTGCCAAAAATTACCTATACGGCTCATGAAAAACTGGAGACCTGTGTCCCTACTTTGCACTGATTATAAGCTCCTTTCCAAAATATTTGCAAGTACACTTAGTAAAACGGTGCAACAAGTTTATCATGCTGATCAGACGTACTGCGTCAATGGCATGTTGATTTCTGATAATATTAACTTAGAAATTGCTTTTTGGTCTTAAAGTGAGGATTGTTTCTATTGATCAAGAAAAAGCTATAAGGCTGTGAAACTGTTTGATTTTCCAGATGTTAAATAGTGTCTATGGATCTTATAATATTTCTTCTCTAGATAGGTTTTAGACCATGGATTAAAACTTGATGAAAACTTGAGGCAAATGTGCCACATCCATGCTAATTTGTATGCATTGCATACAGAGATGGATGCATACAGGCCGCCTGTTTACGAGCCTCCTGGTACCTGTTGACGACGGAATTGATGGCGTCGCCGAACAGGCCAGAAGGCGCAAGCGGGGCGTCCATGAGGAAGACCCTGTCCTTCTCTTTAATGTCGGACAGGGTCAACCAAAGATGCCTCTCCGCTGCCACTAGAGCTTCCATAGACCGCCCAATGGTGCGGGAGGTCTCCTTGGTGGCGCGGAGAGACAAATCAGCGGTCCTACAAAGTTCAGGAATATCTTCAGATTTTACTTCCTCGCCTTCATCTAACTCCTTTAGCAGGTCGGCTTGGTACGCCTGTAACACCGCCATGTTGTGCAGACACACACCAGCCTGACTAGCCTGACCTGCCGCCATATAGCCCTTGCCCACCAAGCTAGATGTTGTATGTAACAGCTTGGAGGGCAATGCCGGAGCTTTTAAGGACAATGCCGCGCCAGGGGACCGAAAGCTCGCAAGCGTCTGTTCCACCCGGGGCATCACTTTATAGCCGTGGTCACTAACCTCCACCACATTTGCATATTGAGAAGAGGTGGGGACAAATAAACAAGAAAGGTCTGGCCCACAATCTCGACACCTCGGTGTGGAGCTCGGGGAAGAACGGCAGGCTCCGGTGTGGAGGTGGCAGCTTACTCCGCAGAAAGCGTTCATCCAACTTTCTTTTCTGCGGTTCAGCCTGTTTCTCGGGGGGTCAATCGATATTTAACTTAGCCACGGCATGAGTAACCACCTCCAACAACTCCTCATACTGGGCTGAATAAGGGGGCGAGTCTTCACAGATGCCCTCCACATCAACCTCCTCGAAGGAAGATAGGCGGAGCATCGAGCCCGTTCCCCGGGGGAAGAAACCGCAAAGCGGGCTTCCGATCCAGGAGAGCGGGCCCCAGATCTGGCGGGTGAGGAAGGAGATAAGGACTCGCCCGTCTCCATTCCCTCAGCCAAATCCAATTGCAAACTCCACGAATGCAGCCGCCGCTCAGCTGAAGCTGAAGCGGAACCCGCACCGCAAGTAACCCTGGTGAAGGCTCCCTCCTCGAAGAGAGCCTTCCGGGAGCGAAGTGAGCGCAGTGACATCCGCTCACAGTGCGGGCAGTTGGCCCCCTCGAGAGCCGACTCCGCATGCTTCGCTCCCAAGCAGACAACGCACAGACTGTGTGTATCCCTGCTCGTGATGTAGCGAGTTCCTGAAGGGGAACACTGCATTCCAGCATAAGAACCTTATCCCATCTGTGAAACAAGGTGGTGGTAGTAGCATGGTTTGGGCCTGTTTTGCTGCATCTGGTCCAGGACGGCTTGCCATCATTGATGGAACAATGAATTCTGAATTATACCAGCAAATTCTGAAGGAAAATGTCAGGACATCTGTCCGAGAACTGAATCTCAAGAGAAAGTGGGTCATGCAGCAAGACAACGAGCCCAAGCAGTTCTACCAAATAATGGTTAAAGAAGAACAAAGTTATTGTTTTGGAATGACTGTCAAATTCCGGACCTTAATCCAATTGAAATTTTGTGGAAGGACCTGAAGCAAGCAGTTCATAGGAGGAAACCCACCAACATCACAGATTTTAAGTGGTTCTATACTGAGGAATGGGCTAAAATTCCTACAAGCCATTGTGCAGGACTGATCAGCAGTTACAAGAAACGTTACTTGCAGTTATTGCTGCAAAAGGGGATCACACCAGATACTGAAAGCAAAGATTCACATACTTTTGCCACTCACAAATATTTAACATCATTTAAGATCATTTTTCTAAATGACAAAGTATATTTTTTGTCTCCTTTGTTTGATTGGATTCTTTTTGTCTACTTTCAGGAATTGTGTGAAAATCTAATTATGTTTTGGGTCATATTTATGCAGAACTATAGAAAATTCTAAAGGTTTCACAAACTTTCAAGTAGCACTGTATATATATATATATATATATATATATATATAATAACACAGGTGGTAAAATCAGTGGTCACATGATGACTTAAATTTCATTACAGTTAATATACCTCCTTGCCAGCAATTATAATAACATAAAGACCCACACAAAGACAAAACATCAATAAAAATGTCAGTAAACATTAAAAGAAAATACATATAGAAAAGGTACACAAAGCAAAAGATACTTAACTGATAATAATAAGAAAAATTATCATTTAAGTTTTGTATAAACACATTTAGATTATTGTTGTGTTTTAACATTTATTATTTAGAAATTTATAATTTATCAATATTTTATAGTGAATATTAGTAGTCTTATTTAATACACATTTTCACAAGAAATCATCATTATTTTAACTTCTAAAAACATGAGTTTTACAATATTTTAGAGTAAAATAACATACATTATCTTTTTAATTACAGTATCATTTTCTTTATATAAGGTAAGGTTGCTTACAGTTAATTAATTAACAGCTTTTTACATTCATTTACTTTCAAATGGTTTTTGCAAGAAATGAAAGACTAATAAATATTCTTCTGATAATGTCTAAAGTTGCTTAAAAATGGGTGGCAGAACAATTAATCACATATCTTAATAATAGTGCATTTCCTCTTCATCCTATGCAATTTGGTTTTAGAAAAAATAAAATTCTACATAAACTGCAAATTATTTTATGTTAGAAAATATAAAATCAAAGATAAAGCAGGTGTAGTTGGTGTGGTATTTCTGGATATTACTAAAGCTTTTGAAACTGTAAATCATTATGTTTTGCTTATCAAATTTAAATTTCTCAGTTGAGGCCATTATGTGGTTTAAGTCTTATTTAGAAAATAGGAAACAATATGTAAGAGTTATAAATACAACATCAAAATATTTAGATTTGAATAAATCTATTTTAGTTCCATTGTTATTTTGTATGTATGTAAATAATTGACCAAATGTCTGTCATCCAGATGTTATTTGTCAAATGTATGCTGATGATGTGATTTTAAATGTACATGCAAAGTCAGCAACAGGCTGCACAGAAATTAAATTCAACGATGGATCAGGTTTCACAATGGCTTTATAAATCATGTTCACAATCATGTTTAATGTCAACAAAACTCTTTGTATGTTTCTTACCAAAAAGGCATGTCAGGATGTAGAAGCAGATGTGTTTGTCCAGGGACAGAAGCGTGACGTATACATGGATTTAAATACTTAGGAATTTCAAAGACATGTGATGGAAGTTGTTAACACAGTAAAATTGAATTTAGCAAATTTTAGATTTATTAGAAATAGCTTGACTGAGGAAGCAGCAGTTTTGTTTATGAATTCCATGATTCTTCCACATATCACATACTGTATGACTACCTGGACTCAAACATGAAAGTCTATTCTTAAACTGGTTGAAATTGTTTATAAATAAGTTTTTAAGATTTTAGATAAAAAAGCTGAATAGCGTTCATCGTTGTAGTGTCCATTTAAGATTTTAAATGGTTTTGCTCCACCAGTTTTTCAAAGATTATATACATCAAATAACAGGACGGTATACAAGAGCTGGTATAAAGGGTAATTGTAATATACCATTGAGAAGAAGTACCTTTGACCAGTTATCATTTGCTTTTAGAGGAACACATGACTGGAATAGACTTCCATCAATGCTAAAGGAATTAAAACATATTGCAGGTACTTGTGGTTTCTCTAGAAAGCTGAAAATGTGGTTACCGTCGAATCAAAATTGTGACCATTTGTAGAGATTTTTGGAGTTTCTTTGTGTGTGTGTGTGTGTGCGTGTTAAGAGAATAGTGCTGTTTTCATTGTTTTTTAATGTCAACCTGCCAAGGGACTACAAATTAGCCAATTTGGCTAAATCTGACTGTTAAATCTGACATGTTGGTTTGTATTATTAATGAGTATTGTCCCTCATTAAATAAACAAGTAAAAACTATAAATTAACATATACAGAGACTTAGGTCATCATAGAGATCCCTTTATTAGGGACCATCATAATCTCGAGCAGGTGGTGACTGCACCACACTCCACGAAACTTTCTCCAGCTCAGATGCCTCTAAACAACTTGGTCATGAGATCAAAAGATCTATTTTCCAGAGAGAGATTTTCATATATCTTTCAGCCAAGCATCGGCTCTGGCACGAGTACCAGCACCATTTTGGATTAACCGGTTTGAGAAATGGCAAAAGGGTACATTTTCAAGGATGAAAGCTTGTTGAATGGAGTGAGCCAACTGGTAGCTTGTTGAACTGAGTGGGCTGACTGGTCGTGGAACCACACTGGCCAGAGGTCAACCAAGACATGGTTATGGCCTGTTTTTTTCCTTGGCCTCTGCCCATGCATCACACCTTAAGGAATAAATCCATGCTTAACAAACACAGCCCCTCTCAGCAGCAGAACACTGTCTTCTATAATCACCACCAGCCACTGGCGAAGGACAAGTTGAATCATTGTTTGGTTTATGGCTAACGTAAAAACAGATATGTCCTGAGTACTCAGCTAACAAAAATATGTTCTAAAAACACTTTGCCAACATTCCCATTTAGTTATGAAAATGTTGTTTTTGAATAGCCCCTGAATGTTTAAAACATCCATTGTTTTCATGCTTATTGTTTTTTTTTTCTTGGTTATGTGCACATTAAAGAAAACACTACAGGGATCCTATCATGCCCCTTTTTACACAAAGGAATATAAATCTCAGGTGTCCCTAGAATGTGTCTGTGAAGTTTCAGCTCAAAATTATGATCCGATCATTTATGATACCATGCTATAAATGCCTTTTTTTTTTAACAGAAAGAAAAACATGCTGTTTTCATGCATGTATTGTTAAAATTAGCTGCTTCTCCCCACCCCTTTTTCCAGAAGATGGCTATGGCTTTACAAATTGTGCCTCAGATACTCTGCCAAAACATCTTGCTTGGTTTTGATAATCATCTCTATATTGCATTCATGCTCATGTGACATTGCAGTTCTTCCTCATGTTTGTGTGCGGCTTAAAGCCATATCAAATTAAACTTCTGATATATGGCTTTCTAAGTGCACACATCCAAAGCACTCACACAGAAAGCTGTAATACGGTTGTCTTTCACGTCGGTTATGTCTGTGAATGTAAGCAGCTGGGAAAGAAATTGCATTTGTCTATTAGATTTGTGTATTAAAGTGACAGCAGTGTCTGTGCTGTTAATATTAATCAAACAACAGCATAACAACTTTGGTAGCTTTATAAGAATACATGTATTACTTGAACATTAATTTTAAATGCTCTAGCGAGGAGATAAACATGGCAGACTGTGTCAGAGATGGTCTTATTATTGGGAGATACGAGGGTCTGTGGTACTTACTATAGGCAAAAGTGTAACAGTCAACGTGGATCATGTGTGCCTTGATAACCAATCACATTACAGCCTTGATGTAACTGAATTTCAGTCAGAGTTGTGCGACACTCAATCGCCATTTACGATTACCACAGGAATGAATGAGAAGTGCCGTAAACTGAATCCTACCTCAAAACATCCGTGACTTCTCTTACGAAACAGCATTTTTTTTCAGTGTAAACGCTAAAAGTAGTTCAATCCAAAAAAATATTGTTTAACGGCAAATATGTTGAAGATTATCCGATAGGTTGTCAATTCATTAAATAATAGGCTGTTTCCTCACAAAAGCTGTTAATTTAGTGTAGTGAAGCCTCTCCTCCATTGGCATCCATATAAAAAACAAAAAAACAAAACGGCTCTTGTCTCCTTCCCTGTGTACCGCCGCAGCCTCAGCATTAGCCATTACACTTTTTTTGGCTAAAGGTTGCAGGCTTGCCTTCCAGTGTCTTTGACTGTGTACAGCTCTCTCAGAGGAGGAGCTAATAGGGCAGAGATCATTAGCAGTCATGGGCGGGGCCTGTTGCAATGTGACATCACATTGGACTACATTCCCGAATGGCTCATTTGTTTTTGATTTATGGAGAAAATAACAGAGTGGATGGATTTTTGCCACAATATGATGGTTGTGTACACACACTGCGGACACGTCATTATGTTCAAAAATAATAAAGTGAATTTTGCATAATAGGTCCCCTTTAAGGGAACATTCGATTTTATCCATTTGCAAACATTATGGGAATGTTACTTTCAAATGGTCTCTGAAAGTTCTGTAACAAGTAGTATAATGTAAAAAAACAAACAACAAAACAAAAAGAATGTCCAACTAAAACGGTTTTAAAAAGTTCCATAAATGATGTATAATGTTTTTGTGTTAATATTTTGAGATTGTTATTTTGAGACCAGATAACTTTAAACAAACTTTGAATCATAGCTCTTCAAATTTTCATTGTTGAAGAGTTCACTGTCTGTGGGTGGTATTTTTTCCCTGGAACATTGTCAAGAGATGAATAACAGAAACTCACTAAACTACTACAAAATTGTCATTTTGGCTTAAGCCGGCTTTGCATTGATCGACAGCTCAGCCTAATGCCAAATGCTTGTGTAACCCCTCTTAAATGATTGCTGTGATGAATATTATTATATACGTCATTGTTTGAATTCAATATAATGACCATTCATATGAATGAAAATCTACATAGATTGATAAAAAAATATTTATATTTGTGTTTTTGGATTGAACTAAGAAATGAGAAGCAACGAATTGGAGCGTTAGGATGTTGGCTCCGCCCACTTGCCTGTGGCTAGCGTGTGCAGGCTAGTAGACTGATACAGAGCGACAGAGAAACCTGATCTGACGAGAGAGTGTAAAAATAGAAAAATACAATCTTTAATTCATTCAAGCTTCATATTAACTGATCAAAACAGCCCGTAAACACAAGATATTAGATGATTCAGCGTGTTTGTGTTACTCCTGCACCACAAAACTTGCATGTGGAATCGTGTGATTGGGTCAGGCCGCATGTTCTGTGCGTGTCTCTGTGGTTTGCTGACGCCATTTTGATTGCGTGTACCTATGAAAAAAAAACAGACGAGAATGCACAGGTAATTCATTATTATGACATAAGTTGCATAAATGATATGCATGTATGTATTATTTGGTTCATGTGCTCTGTATTTCATTGAAATTGTTTTCATTCTTTCATTCTTGATGCACAGAATTAAGTGTGTACTGGCCTGTGAATGTACAGGCCAGGTTTTTTTTCCCCTTGTGAGGATGAACTTTCATGTGGATTTCCATAATTGATGGCGACGACAAACAATCACGTCACTGTCCAGTTACAGTAATCCTGCTAATAAGATTCATGCACACCAAGAAGTGTGTGTGTGTGTGTGTGTATTAAACCAGTCAAGTCAAATGAGTTGGGTTTTTGTTGAGTCACAGGAAATGGCTTGCAGGGTGAAGACCCCCCTTCCAGAAATCATTAAAAAGCTGGCACGAAAGGCCAGGAATGTTTATCAAATTAACGCCTGAGTCTGAGGGTTTCACAGCAGGCCATGGAGGCAACAAGGCCCTTGTCTATAAACCAGCAAGGCTTGGCGACAGTGGGTTGGATGGATGGACAGAAGGAAGAGGGAAAGCAAGGAGTGGAAAGAATAAGAAAAATAGACTATATAGCTTTAATAGCTCATTGGCCACTCAGGGACAGTGGCTGATTTTTGCTTTTGGGAGAGCCAAAGGGAATTTGGCATGGTTTACCATTAAATTCTAACAGAGACAGCTGTGGATTTGCATAGTTATATTGAGTTCTTTTGTCCCTGCTTCTTGAAAGAATAGCTCACCCAAATATATATATATATGTATAGGGGAAGATTTTCAGTGAATGATGGCTGAGAATAAAACAACAGCCCACTGCTTTTATGGTACGGAAAAGAGCAGCTTGGGGATTCTTCACAATACCTTATTTTGTGTTTTATAAAATACAGTCAGTCATATAGATTTGGAATGACATGAAGGTGAGTGAATGACAACATTTATTTGTTTATTTGTTTGTTGGTTGGTTGGTTGAACTATTACTTTATCAAATTGTAAATAAGAACTTCCATGCTGTCTGGAAATAAGTACAGAGTACTCTGCATTGACAGCAGCATAGACAATGTTCTTGTCTAGCAAACACAAAGGGATTAGGCAAGGAGAAACAAAGCTCTTTAAAAGCCTTCATACATCATATGTTGACAAGCTACACATCCATACACATGTCCAACATACACTCTGGTCACAACACCCTGTGCATTGGCCATGTAAAAAATAAATCATGTCACTTTGCATATAGTCTTCTGCAAACCATAAAGGTGGCTTTGTGCAAATATAAAATGTGTTTGGGTTAGCATGTGCAAGTTTTGCATACAAACAAGAAAGGATGCCTAAACATGAGAAGGTCCATGCTATCGTTGTGTCCCAGAGTATTACTTTGGGAACCCAGGGCAGTCTTGTAATGGTTTATACTGTCATGTCAATACATATAAGAATCCATATCAGAATTACAATCTGATGTTCAGGAATTGCCTTTCCCATTGACATAATCTTTACCTGTGCTGACCTAGAAAGTCAAGAATTGTTTAATGTGCATCACTCACATGCATACACCATTTACTAAATTTCTGTCAGCCTGCGGGCAAATGTGTTTAGGCTCCATCACTCGTGCATCTCTCAGGGGCATCTTCACACACAAATACACCTACACATGCAAGCTCTCAGACTGCTCTACACAAAACCTATTTAATGGATCAAAATTCTGAAGCAAATGTTTGAAGTGACTATGTGTGCACAAGTGACTGTGTAAAAGAGAGCAGCACTGACATACTATACAAGTATATATTGTTCCTGCTGAATAAATCAGCATAGTTGATCACTGGTAGCTGTTATATTTTAAATACTGGGAAGGGTTACACAATCTTATTGTGAGGCCTTACCTAAATCTACCATATTAATTTAGTGACATTGTGACTTAGACGAGACTTAGCTAATAGGCCGCAAGTGAATGTAAGGTTATCTTGGTACGGTTGATGTTTCAAACTTTGGTCCCACTTTATATTAGGTGTCTTTAACTACTATGTACAGAAATAATGCATTGTTTGGTACAATGTATTTATTGTGTTCATATTGTATTGCAAATCACTTTTGCTGCTTTTGAGGTGGGGATGGTTATGGTTAGGGACCAGTGTTGGGCAGTAATGCATTACTTAGTAACGTGTTACTGTAATTTGATTACTTTTTTAGTAACGGAGTAATTTAACGCGTTATAATTTTCAAAATAGTAATTAGAGTATAGTTACAAGCCGAGGTCTCTATACGTTACTGCCGCGTTACATTGTTGACAGAATGCAGTGTTTTATAATCTAGAGATTGTAAAAAGGATGTAGCACATGCACTGTCTAGTCAAGTGCCAGTGGATTAGAGTCCTGCTCCCGCGAGACCCGACGCAACAGCGCGGCGCGGGACAAGAGGTGCGAGTGCGCGTGCAGGCGGGTAGACACTCGTGTGTGTGTGCGGGATGCGGGAGAATAAAATGATTCACGGGAATCCTGCAAAATAGAAATATCTAAACATAAAATATCTAAAACAAATAAATTGT